TTTTCAGCTTCAAAGCGGTGTAATTAAGTTCACTTTCCTCCAGCAAATATCTCCAGCAACTGAGATTTTTCATGCAATTTCCAAAACAAAGTCATGCATTTAATCAAAGCTCTGCATTAATTGAAAAAAGTGAAACGAAAGCAACAGGCAGTAGGCAGCAGAAATCTTGGAGAAATTATGGGATTTGAATGAAGGATATCGATCATTGAAAGATGATCGTTGTGGAGTCGATAGTAGAGCCACGTGACAGTTAATTCCATGCAGAAGTCGCAATTTCCAGCTCAGACATAATCACGTGGTCCCTGCTTGACTGGTCGATGTGTCTGTGTGTGATACATGTACAAGTATATTCTGGGTCATTTGTGTCATCCTGTTTTCCTACGTCCGCCTATCACTGTTGGGTTTCTCTATCTCCACCGGAATGGGGTGGTTTTATTCCGTAAACGGAGGGTGAGGAAGGGTGTATGGGTCAGGTATGGGTCATATTTTCCTCCTTTTATTTTTCCCTAATACACACGGTTTAGTACCCGAAAGTATTCAAACATTAATATATTGATAATTAAAATAAATAATAATCAAAAATCATTATTTTGTAATTAAATGGAAGATTGAGGTACATACACTAATCGTAAGTAAGTTGTAAATTGGTTGGTCCATTATTTGATTCAACAAAATTAATGAAACGTTTACGTAGTCATTTTTGGGAAAAATTAATCATCAGTATCTTTATTCGCTAATGAGAAGCGTTCAATCAAGGGAGAGTCAGCTATTTTGTGCAAAGAATATGAATGAAACTTTTATGGAGCATATTTCGGTAAGCTTTAAGCTTTAAGCTTTAAGCTTTAAGCTTTAAGCTGATGTATCATAAGTGCTATTTTGTGATACTTTTCTGTTATGAAACCACGTTACTGTTCTAATATTATAATTTTGTGGCTAAATTAAATTTTCATTTGCATAGATTACCCATCCAATCGCATCCTTTCTTTCTCTCTCTTTTGTTTTTTTTTAAATTAAAGTAGGAATTTTACCTATTTAGGAATTTACTGTAAATTTTCAAATACTTTCGTGTACCAGTGTTCGTAGATGGTATAACGGAAAGCTCGGCTGATATGTTCCATAAGAAAGCAAGAAACACCGGCAAGCGACATCAGCGCATCGTAGCACCTGCTTTCTATGTATATTCCAGAGGTGAATATACCGACACCGGTATATATACGTGTATGATGTTCGAACACATTTATAGCCAATTCGTGTGCCGAGATTGCGTTCACGAATTTGTTATGCGTACGCCTTTTGTGTTCTCGTAAACAACCGATTTTCATGGAAACACATTCATTCTGTTATTTTACTGAAACTCTTTTTCACGATTTCTAAATTTCTAAGAAAATTAGAAAAATTAAAGAAATATTTTATGATAATCGTACGCATAAGAAATCGTAGTAAACGTTAAGAAGATGTCGCCAGACATCGCGTTTTAAGCAGAATTCTTCACATTATTGAAATTTTATACTCCAAACAGTCGTGAAACATTCGAAAAGTGGGTGAAATGGTAAAATATAGATCTCAGCATGTTATGACCCTCTTTATCGTTATCGTTATCGTTATCGTTCTCTATGACAGATAATCCTCTCTCGCCAGTAAGGAAGAACGTACTTACAGAAAACTAAAGAACTGGTAAATTTTATCACAGAAGAATCTTTCAATGCATCGCAAAGCTTTTAAATTAAATAGGTACAGAATGAATTGTATGAATTTGAAATAAATTATTTTTTTTCTATCTGTTGGATGTTAATAGGTTACATAAATTTTTAATATGACAAGAAATTCACTAAAAGTCCGACAAAATTTGATAACATAAAACTATTGCAAAATTAAAGCTTAAAGATTGAAGAAAATGATTCTATAAACGTTTTATCACAATATTTTTAATACAAAATGGCTGGTTGTGGATTATAACGCATAGTGATCCAATTTTGAAATATGAAAATTCAAATAATATTTCATGATCTCAGGTATCGTAAAATATCACTTGTAATATGCCATTTCAAAGTGTAAAGTTTAGCGAAACAAATTTTGTATCCAATTTTATAGTTACTATAATTGTAATACTACAAATTTACATAACCTTCTAACAAAATTTATTCATGACTCAACTTCCCAACTGTATATTATCTATACTTCTTTTGCATATTAATAACAAATTTCTATGTCAAAATTCATTATGCACTACCATGACCTACTTTCCATAAAAAATATAATAAATTATGGAGTATTTAAAATTTGGATGCCATTTCAAAATTCAAGTACTTCTAAAGTAAAATTTAATTTTACAAATTTTATGTATAAAAATTATATTCTATCTAATTTTAATTATTAAAATACTCCATAAAAAATAATCAGAGATTACGAAATCAGAGAAGCTTGCAGTCAAGATTTTAAACTGTCAATAAATTTGTTAATGTCCCAGTGTTCATTTTAGAGTGCAAAAAAGAAAATGACAACCGATGTCAAGGATAATTAACGTTGGAAAATGGTGGTTGGCAGGTGAAGCTTTTCACGGAAATTCGCCTCGACAGACATTGATATCTCGTTAGACATTTCATTATCGTTAGGCTTGTCTGACGTTTATTCGATTTATTTCGATCGTTGTTAACAGCAGAACCTCCTGAACGATACTCAACGATAAACAAATATTTACTTGAGAACAATACTTTTGAAAACTGGTAAAAACTAAACGTATTTTGTATAAATTTCATAGAGGAGACAAACCTGTAATTTCATATTTTATTTATGGGCCAGTTTGCTGTAGGTTGCATTAAAACACGAAGAGGAAATCAATGGTGTTGGTGCTAATGAAGCATTAATGTATAATGTATAAAAAATAATTATTTTAGATACAAGCAAGTTTACTTGTCAATAGTAATTACAACAACTTAAATTTCTTTTTGTAAGTAGTACAAGTCAGCTATTAGTCAAACACAATGTGCTTCAGTTTAAATTTTAATTAAAATAAGAAATATTGTTTACTTGTCTAATTTATGACATCGGTAAAATAAAATTTTGTCCCTCTGTTTCATGATTGTATATTTTAATTAATTTTATTGAATTCTTTTTAGGAAGAAACACAGTACATACATACATATATAATAATTAGTTGCTCATTGAGATGTATCAATCATGTGATAGCCATTTAAATGAATAACTTCAGTTTCACTAGCAGAAAGATTGAAACCTGACGAATGAAATTGGAATGCTGACAGGACTGTTTTCGTTCGCTTGAAATTAATTTCAATTGAAATAGCAGCCAATACGATACTTCAGGGAAATTTCAAAGCTATTCATTTTCTCCTGTTTATTTCCTTGCAATAAATCACTTTCCATTCCTCAAATTAATGTACCTTTTCATTATAAAAATGATCGAAATAATGTAAGTTAAAAGGTTAGCACCATTTTTTTGACTATAAAAATCCAAAAACATACTTTTATAGCTTAAGATATGGTAAATGAAATGTATATGTATAACAGATTTTTCATACACTTCATGATTTCCCCAGTTCGTTTGGTTAATGACGATTACCTGAAGTGGCCGCAATTCGGAAATAATTGAATAGGACCAGTTCTAATCCGTCGATGGTTCACGCTACACATTTCCGGCGGTAATCAGCCTCGGAAGTGGAATACAATTAACGCGTGAATCAGCTACGGATGAGAAATTCAGGTGTTCCAAAATACTGCAGTTCCAAAACTCGAATAATAAATAATTAAAAAAAAAAAAAAAAATGATAAAACGAGGAAAAAACATAGCGAGAGAGGTGATTTCATATTCTTATCAATCGGATGTTATCATTCGTCCCACTCCTCGATATTTCATGTATGTTGATAGATGTGCATAATATATAATATACCTATAAATATATACCTATATTATATATAAAAATCCGAGCTGAAGCTACGAAGCGTGAGAACGAACGGCTATCTATGGAGCGTTGCTATTGTGTTGCACTGAGTTCTTGTGTCGGACAAAGAAGCCTGAAGAGGGAGTTTATAGGTAGTGGGATCGTGATGACATTTCTGGCAGGTTGAATATCGTGGTAATATCTTGGCACCGATTCCTACGTCATGGAGAGAATCATTATAAATGAAACGTCATTACTGATATCTACTTTGGCTGTTTCATATCGATTGATCAAGCTAATAATTCGTGACAAAAAAACATCATCATTCATTTTTTCATTGTTAAGAATATCGATGAGCTTTTTATGGAGTACTTTTTGCGATACTCTGAGCTTTAAGATAATTTTATGTCATAATACAATAGATTGATACAAATTTTGATGAAATTCAATACTGAAAATTTAATAATGTTCGCCATTAATTTACTCTATTAAATACAGTATCGATTTCATCATAGGAATTAATATAAGCAGTTGGCGTAGTAATTCAATAAACTTCAATTAATACTCTAGAAATTGAAAATACGAGAAGAAATATTATATGTACATTAATCGAATTATGTATCATTTATCGGGGGAAAGGAATGAAGCGTTTGTTCTAATTAACATTTTAATGGAGAGTTATTTAAAAAAGTATTAATATTCTTCATAAACATTCAGATAAAAAGTTTTATATGCTATATGTATAATCATACTGCGGATAAAAATTTCAATATGAACTGTAATTAATAATACAAAGAATAATTTGATTAAGAATTTTGTTGAAATTAATTAAATTTCATTATGAATTCTTTTTTAATTATTATATAATATTTATATGTATAAGTAATTGATATCTAACATTAAAATTTATAAAAAATAAATATAAGTATTCCTTTCCATGACGATATTATGGTTTTTGAATGACCCAGGTATGAAAAAGTTTGAAAAGTCAGATTTTTGTTTATCGAAGGAGAGGAACGCGAAATTTGGGATCAGTAAGAGTATATGGTGCTTGGTGTGTGTATTTTGAGCGTGTATAGTGTGTAAGTGGAGACAGTAGTGTACCTGGTTGCCGTCGTAGGTCCAGGATCCGAACTTCATGTCACAGTGTTGGTCGTCAAAGGGGAACCAAGTGATGTCTATCTTGCAAGTGCTCTTGAAGATGCCCGGAGGAACGTACAGGCAACTGCCGTTATGCGTGACCACCACGTTTGTTTGGTACGTCCCGTCGAAACCCTCATCCGCACTAATATGTTTACATTACATCATTAATTCTCGTTATCAACCTCAATCGCGTTTCTTTTTAGCCACGATTAACCCATATACATACATATTAGTTTTTCTTAATCATTGACCGATCATTTTGGTAGATATCAATTTTTCATTAAATTTTTTAAACAATAGTTGTCTTTTTAACGGTTATAATAAATTTCCTGTAAGGTATTGTTTTTTTATTACTTTTGATCTTTTGTGTTGTTTCAACCTTTTTTTATTTTGGGAAAATTAATTTTGGGTATCGGAAAATTCTAAGGGTAGCAACGACCATTTTGTGGTTTATTATTGATTTTTGTTTCTTTTTTTCTTTTTTTTTCTGATAATAATTAATTCTAATGATAAATGTGTCAAGGATTAATGAATTAAAATTTTCATATAATTTTAGTATAAAAATTTCATATTAATGACATCTGTGACCATCCTAAACGTGTTTAAGACAAAGGAAAGTGTTGAAATATTTAGTGTAATCAGAACATTGAATGGTTAACGTTGAATATCTGTGTCGAGTCGTCTGTCGTCGAATACATTTAGCTTTTTCACTTTGTTCCCTCTTTGAAACGATTTTAACCGGCTGCCTTCGGCGCGGCGCGCAGCAAAAGGAAATTAAAGTACTTACGTTCTTGTGCTCGTCCAAGCCTACACTGTAATCTAAAGGTTCGTACATCAGACTTATGCAAACGATGAGCCATCAAAGAGACTCTCGAAATTAATTTAATTATAATCAACCCCCCACCCTTCACCAGTTTAAATGCAAATTGTTCACGAATATAAAGGCATAGATTTTAGAACAATATACAGGGTATTACGTTTAAATCCAAATCGTAGAATACCTCATAAAGGCTTGAAGCTATTAAAACAATGATCCAGTTAAAGGGGGAAGATTATATGATGTAAATAATTTTATATTAATCTTTTGAATTTTCACAAAAAAAGTACGTAATTCAAAGAAAGTATTCTAAATTTGAATATCTCTAAAATACAGAGAGAAAGCTTTAACTTTGTCAATAATTCATGTTTTTCAATCAGGAAACAAAAATCATTCACCTTTCATTTATAAATTATTGAACCATTCAATATGACCAAAAGGAAATTTCAAAGCGCTTTTAAATCCATATAAATATAGAAAATTTCAATTTTTCAATCACAAAGTGTCGAATTAATTCTCCGTTTCATTTGACAAAAGATATTCTGTTGAAAAGCAGCTTAACAGGTATCGTCGCAGTGAAAAAGGATGTGTCATGATATGTATGCTACTCGTGAGAGCTTCAGAACATCAAAATACTGTAGTCTTTTTATTTTGCACCATCTGTGCATCTCGGAAGAGTAACTCCGCCATTATGATGGCTACGATGCTTTTCTCTAGGAAAAGAAAAAGGGAAATGTAAAGGGAGAAAATATTCGAGAGAAGAAACGACGAAGAACAGAAGAGTTTTTATAGAGATAAGGTGATTCTATCGCGAGTATTTATTTCCTGCTGGAAGAAATAAGAAATTCGAGAATTGAAATTAAGATTATGTAAAAATTCTTATATGTTATATATAAAAATCAGTTTGATATTCAAATCTTCAAAAATAAAAACATATAACGAAGTAAAAATGATCGTTGCCACCCAAGATTTTCATTTATTTATATAATCCCATATTATAATGAAAGAGTCTGATTTTTTATCTTTCGAAAATTTACGATTGATGTCTTTATCAAATTATTGGATTTATAATCATTCCAAATTTATATTGCTCTGCGAACAGCTGTTTCTAACACGTACTTATAACAAATATTTAATTTTACAACAAAAAATTTCTTAATAATTTATTAATTCCGAATGATATATATTTTGCCATGAATGCATGAATATAACCCCATCGTTATTTATTTACTATAAAATTGAAGAATTATGTCCCATGTAACCGTGTTAATATTTTATTCAAAGAAAGAAAATAAACATTTCATTTTCAATTATTATCATTTTATACAATTTGTCGAGAAATATAGGCCATTGAGTATTAATAATTAATGTTCTCTCCATATTTACCACTAAATTATACTGGATATACAAATGATTATACGTGAAACATTGTATTCTACATTCTGAGGTGAACAAGTTTTGTAAATTATGCATAATTATTGCATAACACTAAAATAATAAAAAATAAATAAATAATTTTTTTTTTTTATAAATAATAAACAAGCATTTGCAAATTTTACAACGACCTATTTGCGTTATTTCATATTTCCCGAATAAATTGAATATTGAAATATCATCGTTATAGCATCGTTGGAGCTATTCAATAATTTTTGATTGTGCGACTGGGCAAGAATCCAACAAATGCTCTGAAACGTCGCGTCGCGTCGCGTCGCCACCATTATATCACTGCCACATAGGAAACTATACATATATACATTGAAAGAAAAACAAAATGATTATCTCACCATTGGCAGTTGTTATAAATAAATCGATATAAAGTTATTTCAAAATGTACAAAATGACAAAGCGATAAATAAATGTAATAGGAGCAACAAGAGCATCCGCCGAATTTGCCAGAGTTCCGTTTCCCGTTCACGTGGCCATTAACAAAGCATCGCTTGGGTACAGCGTCGTTTACCAATTCTGCAGGTACGCTTTTCGTCGATTGTTCGCCACCGCACAAAGACGATCTTTGCATGGCATTGTCTAGCTTTCGGGATGAAGATCGCTGACCCTTCCGCCCTTTTTTCCCCCCCTTTGTGATACCTACTGCGGTGATATTCAGAAGAGCAGGCGTCGAGCAACAAGTAACTCGCACTCGGGCAAAACGTTTCGCGCTTTTGTTTCACGAATAACCATTATTCCTAGCCGTAAAGGTGCCTCCACACGATCAACATTAATCAGCTGTTCGCAAGAGCCTATTCGTCATTGAAACGATTTACGTTTAATCTCGACGACATTCAACGTCGCGACGCGTTCCAATTCGACCGGATTAAGTTCGTCTTCAGCGAGTTTTAAGTGGGTTGCCTTTACCTCGGAAATTCGAGCGGTTGAGGTTTCATCGACCATGCCGCGATACCCGCTCCCTTCTTTATTCTACCACCGAAAACTTTCCTTCTCGCGAGTGCAACAACCTGCGCCGAGCCACCCACCCTCTCTCTCTCTCTCTCTCGCTGTGTTCTGCTTCAATTACGAGGATAACTCACGAGAAACTAGAGTTCCTGTGAAAACCAACACCGCTGCTGATTCGATTTAAGAATTTTCATTTCCGCTTCGAAGCGGTTTTACACGTGCAACCGTTGCTTTTAGATGAAATTTATGTTCTCATGGTATTCCCTGACTCAGCAGATACCTTTCTGGATGAAAAAAAGTTGATACTTTCTGGGAAGGAATTCAATGTTGTTACATTTTATTTTATTTTCCGAGAAATATCATATCGAAACGTTGCCAAATGTTGGGTGCTCCCCTCCCGAATGACCCATCACGCAATATCGTGGATTGGATCGATAACGTTTAAGTGTTTCAAGATGTACCTTTACAACCATTTACGGGGCTCGAGCGCTAGCCTATACAAATAAAACGACGTCCATCTCGGTCAAACCCATGAATTCGAGATATGTCAGTCTATACCGATGTGTAATGGGTCATGGATTTCGTGGCTCGATCCAGGAGGTTGATCGCGATGCTGGAGTGGTTCGCGTACACCGGTATTCCAGCCGTTTGACTGGAATGCCGTAACATTGGACTACGTGTTGCGCGTGTTTCAGAGGGAGCGGGCAACGGGCCCGGTGCTGCGGTGGCCCGCAGTAACGGGGTGGCCTGACGTCGCGTCTCTATTAATTATTCACATAATTACACCCGCTGCCACCCGCTAATACCCTTCATCGCCAACGCCATGGGCTTGCGATATTCCGAGATCAGTCACGATCAGAAAGATCAATTGTTTGAGATAAAATTCAGGTGGAGGAAGACACTGTTGGGGGACTGTGAGACCAAGACGTCACTGTGAGTAATAATTGTAATTTAAAATTATTATGTGTTGTCGATCAGTATTGAGTATACATTATTAGGAAGTTGCACGACATCAATTCACAGCTGGATCCTCCCCTTCCCTAAGGATACTTGCCCCTAGGCTGCTCTAAATAGGTTGGGTCATGTCTCAAGTTTTGAATGGTATCGGAACTTCAATTTGACCATAAGTACAAGTACCTAGGAGTCTCCATGCCATCTGAATGGGATAGTTGGATCCTCCTCTTCCCTGAGGATCCTAGACAGGATCCTATAGACTCAGCTACTCAATGGGGATGGGTTACATAAAGAATTTCAAATAATATAGGAATTCCAGTTTCTATTCTCTTCTGCAAGTCATCATTTCACAAGAGTCCAAATGGGATAGCTGGGCCCTCCTTTGAGAACTCCTGCTTTAAGACTTGCCTTTACAAGGGGTCCTTCCTTTTCTCTAGATTGATCTATGCAAAATTCTACAAAGCCAGATACTTAATTGTTTCAGATCATATCTCAAGTTTTGAATGGCATAGGAGTTTGAAGTAGCTCCTTGAAGAGTGAGTAATGGATGAGCTCGGGCCAAAAACCATCACTAGTTACCCGCTCCGATCAACATCCTATCCTATGGTTTTTAAGCCGATTAAGGCGAGTGAGATCACCACAAGAACAGCATGTAATGCGATTATGTATAGACGAATTCATGGTCGTCTATGGGTGATACAGGGTTATTACCATACTGACAACTGATTTAGCTACACGTCTTCTGGACTTCGGATGGTGGCAAATAAATGGGTCAGGAATGATCAAGATCTTCGAAAGGTGTACTATGATAAAATAGAAGCTACGATGGAGAAATTTTTAAAGAAAAATCTTTATAGGCCTGCAGGAACAGTATGAATTTTAGAAAAAAAAGGAAAAGGCTGTGGGTGTGAATAGGGGATATCGACGTATTCAAACGTGGTACCATCATTGGGTTAATTTTTGACAATTTTAAATTCCATAATATGGTTAATGGTTATGATGTATAAAAGGGGTTAAACTTTTCCAATGGAAACTTTGTATACTCCTAGTAAAAAATGTATCATTTAACGATGATCTGATTGTCCCTAGGTCAATCTAGGTGGAGTTCGTAAATTTTGATACTCATTATGACGTTCGCGCTAACGATGTTAATTACATGAACGACAAAACACGGTTACGTGTTTTGATTTTGATGGCGCAGCGACAGGAAAACCGAGGAATTTTAAACGCGCGCAGCACGCGACGCGACGGTAGAACAGCTGTTCGAAGACAACGAGATTAAACAAATATTGTCGAAACCAACAGGGTGAAAATGACAAAATTTACCGTCGAATCCCGTTACATTTTCCTGGCGAAACGTTTGGCAGAAATGAAATTTGCCTGGACAAATATGAACAGCGAAATTTGCTCGATCAAACATCAAGGCTTGGGTCAACTTTGCGGTAAACTGAACTGGACACCGTTCCATTTGAGTTTGATTACAACGGCCTAATCGTATTTCTAACTAAAAATAAGACGGTAGCGAGGCGTACGTACCCTGGGGAACAGTTACTATGAGTACTTCTTCCAAAGAGAAAGGTGTTTCCTGCGAAACCGTAAAGCGAATCCCGCTCCAAGGTACTTTTAGGTGGTACTACTGAATTTAAGCTGCTATAACCTGAAGGTTAAAGCTTCGGGAGCTGGCGTACAGCTCGTAAAATCCGTTTCATCCGAACACCTTCACGGATACATGTAACGCTCTGCCTTTACCGCGAATCGACCGAATTTCCTCTGAATAGAAGATTCGCCATTTTACAAGAAACATATTTCACTTGATTCTTGTATTTTTTATCGAATCGTTCGTTTAATCTTAAGTAAACTGTACGTCGAGTCTCTAACGGTGGAACTCTGCTGACCTGACCCATTGGATCACTGGTTGAAACCGAAGTTTCCCCAACGTGTGTTCAATTAATTGAAACGATCTAGCTTTGCGAACACGCCCATTCACGTTCGAAATTCTCTGGGTTCTCGTTAGCTACCGGTTGACCAACTTGGCCAGCCATTGAAAGAGGATTCAGCGTTTCGTCTGCGACTCGGTCGTTTGTCTTTTTTATTTTCCTACCGCGATACGGTTTGGATTAGGTACTCGAATTAAATGTACTGATTCAGAGATAAACTGTCTGGAAGTACCTATCAAGTTAACCGAAAGCGCGGAATGAAGTTCCGAAGATGTCCGTTTGGTCTTAGCTTAAACCACCCGTCGCCCTCGTTAATCCATTATTCATGGTCGCGGAACGGAAATTCCGCAACTATGCAGGCTGCTACGTGACGTGGTCTCACAGTGAGAATGCGTAATAATTCGTCGGAGTGGCGAATGGTGTATTCAACGCGTCGCGTCGATCGATTTCACCGCGGACGATGGTGAATCCGAGGCTGACAGCAGGCGAGCAGCGGGCGTATCAATTTTGCGGGCCAGCAGGACGTCGGGACTAGGCTATTGATTTGAACCAGGTGCCCGTAAGATACCCGAAAGCATGGGGGTCTGATGGAACGTATAGGGCCATCCCCAACGTCGCAGGACTCTTGATGTAAGTAGAAGGAGAAGGCTGTCTTGTATGGTCGCCCCTGTAGCTTTGGGCTTGAAGAGCCTGCACGAGACAGTTCAATGTCAGTTAACTGTTATATAACATATAAGCTTCTTCGCAACCTCCGCCAAAGAGGGAACCATGACAGATTTCTATTTCCCTGTTACACCCATTTCCTTCCACCATACGAGGTGTCGGTGGACCATGGAGAGAGACTGCCTACATCTCCCATCAAACTTTCATGCGTCCGAGTGTGTCATGGGTGCCCTGGCACCCGAATATCTCCTAAGTTAGAACCATCTAACTTCCTGCTAGCTCGCCCCACAGTTGCAGGCCTATTAAATATCTAGAACTAATTAATCTAGGAGGCTGTGTGAACAAGTGAGAATAGAAGCAAGCCATGGCGTTGAAAATCCACTTTTCTACTTCCATTGTGATTGAACGTTCGCACCCATCAAAGTCGACCCAGTGTTTAGGCGATAGTTCCTTTGCTGGTACTCGAAGGAGAAATTTTCAAATCGTTTATTTTTTATTGTAACAAACATCACTTCAAATATTGCAAAGGGTTATTGATTCAAATGAAAATTCATATAAATAATTTCTGCAAAGTCGGAGACTAGTTGCCAAATAAATAAATTAATGAAATGATTTGTTTTTTATTTTCTCAATGTGTATTTATTTTGAGCCGCTTTGTACATTTATTTATTTTTTTTTCCTTCACGAGCGAGTACCATCAAATAAAATTCAATTTCCTTAAATGTTTTTTTTTACATTATATTTTTAGAAAAATTGACTGTAACTCCATGGCTCTTCCAGTTTTGGAAAAAAATGAATATGGCTGAAGTGAATGCAATAAATGCCTCCGCGTAATTTATGTATAAAATGTACGATATAGCGAACACGAACCAACTAACTTGAAAATTAACTGATTCGTGTGACAAATTCAAAATTTATTATAAAAATCTAGCAGACTAGGGTTAAAAAATTCTGCAGGGAGGTATATCTAGCTACTATGTATAAATATGTACAAAATACTGGTGCATGCAATCCACGGATATTTAATAATAATATAGTATAGGCGTGTTTCAGTGTGTAAAATAAAATATATATTTTAAGATGCGAAGCAACACTGGGATAATTTTCTTTTTTTTTTTTTTTCTTTACGTACCATCGACGATTTCAATCAATTAGTTTATTGAATTTTCAAACAAAAATGAACGTACGTAAATTTCATTCACGATGATGTATTATTGCTGGTGATTTCTGAAACATTCTTAAAATCCTTAACTCCTCGATCCATCGAGGACAGCTTTTTATTTAAAAAAAAAGTGTCTAAAATAAAATGGAATTTGATTTAAAGGATTTTTGAACTTTACTTTTGTTTTGTAGCCGGTTTAATTGGGTTTCTCTCGATTTACCGTGCGAAACTGAATTTCCTATGTAAATGGAGCAAGATTCAGTTACCTGTTGTACATGAGTATGTCTGGCTTCCAAAGCTTGTTTGGTGTAATTCGAAGGTCCTTCACGCCTCCGTAGTCGGATTCGTTCCATTGGAGGTTGTAGTCCATCCATTCCTGAAACATTCGAGCGACGTTGTCAGTAAACTAGTAACAAGCTTTTAACATTAAGGAAATAAGATTAATTATTTATTTATTTTGGAAATGGGCCATTGGAGGTGGAAATTAGCAGGTGAATTCAAACATTAGCTAACACGATAGTCAACCTTCGAATGAAATGGTAAAAGTGTTCACTTTGAAATGTAGAATAGGGGAGAAAAAGAAAGCTATCATACCGCAATTCGAAACTTTTCTATGTACATATATTCGAATTAGCATGCCGGGCGACCGCTTGCGAGAACACTATCACCGATCATCTGGCCGCCACCTAGCGGTCCCTGGTCCGAACTAAAGGCGTCCCGGGGAGACGAAACCCTCCTCTCCCCTCCACTTAAACGCCTACAGAAACGATAAAGTACCATCCCAAAAATCTTCAGGACTTAAAAAAAAAAAAGAAAAAGGGAAGGATGATAGAAAGCGATCATTTACTGTTCGAAAATACGAAACTCCTTCCGCAAGCTTGAACAGGCATCAAATAGAAAGTACTCTGCGGAGTCCGTTGAGACGAAATTTTATTTGAAAAAGAGCGTTCGTTTGCATGCCTCGTTTCCATGGTTCACAGGAATCGTCGTCGGTACATAGAAAAGGCAAGGGACTTGAGAATCTCGAGGCAGACACACGATGCGTATCTCTGTAGGCCTGGCTAGAAAACGGGAGGCGAACTTTCACCCCTCTGAATTCCTCGTTTGTGCAGTTCAGCCGCGTAATCTAATGAGCAAACGCCGAGACTCACCGTCCAGACCCGGAAATTGAAGTATACATTATAAAACGACGTGCTTTCTATGCAGTTTGCACACGAACGTCATAAAACTAGGTCGCAGTGCATTCCTCGAAAAGAAAAAGAAAAAAAAAATAGTCACTGCTTGCGCTTAAATATACGGACCCTTTCTCTTTTTCACCTGACCTGCTGCCTTTCATTCTAAGTCGAATTTAACCCATCTAAGAAAATTTGTGGTACACAGTTGTCATTGGATAATTTCGAAAGGGACAGTTTTCATTTTTACTACTATCTTCTTACAATCAAAAGCTTCATCATGTTTCTTATTTAATTTAAGTAAGACATTATTTGCATTGCTCTCAATTTATTAAAAAATTAAAATTTCAGGAACATAGTAAGGTAAATTTATCATGAATATTAAATGAGAAATCGTTCCGTTATATTTGCTGAAAGCCTTTTAGGTAATAATACCATCATGGCCTTTAAGCTGCAGTATGACGGTCCATCCATTACTTAACGCCACTTATCATGGAGAATCGTTTCTTATTCATCATAATTATTGCAGACAAGATAAAATTGTTTCAGGATTTTAGAAAAATTTTTTAACTTTGATTTTAATTTATAAATTACAATATTATATAAAGTGCTAATCTGTGCTGTAAATAGAAGCCATTTTAGTCTTTCAAGTATACGCAGGAATAGTCAAAGAAGAATCTTGAAGAAAGGTCTAACAATATAAAAGATTTCTTCTTGGAACCTTCAAGTTTCTTATTTTACATCTTCACTTATGCATGGATAAGTTTTCAACAGCTTCTCAGTTATAAAAATAAATTCACTTTTCAAGTAAATATAAATAAACAAACTAGAAAATAATATTTTATTACTACACATAAGTAGTAATAAATATGTCAAATTATTAAAAGATAAATAAATTTTACTGCAACGATCGATAGATAACTTGTTGTTTCTCTGGTAAAATTACAGAACTTCCGGTCCCAGGTGTTTCCTTTTTCCATAAGATACTTTATGGAGAAACGATTGCACTTTACTATAGATGTTTATCCGGTGAGATATTATAGAAGTTCGAAAGAATGTCGATTGAATATTAAATAAAGAAAATATAGACCGAATATAAACATCTAAATTATTTTAATTCAAAAGGAAAAGTTCCTTCTATATTCTATGTATATTAATCTTGTATAAAAAATAAACAACTATGGGAAAAGGTCAGATACATCTGAATTGGATTATCCTCCAGCAAATGCCCATCGTTCAAGCTGTTATGGATTGCCACATCCATCTTCGGATGACCACAATAGTGGACGTATGCACTTGACCAGCCCTCTCAGGTGCATTAATGCAACGCGTGCTTTCGGTTAAGGAGCAGGATTGCTGGCGATCTTTCGCAACCACACTGTTACCATGAATCTACTTCGGTTACAACCATATTGATCCATTGAATTCATTGCGATAGTAAGAAATTTTGATTTTTGAATTTGTACCACCCTCTTAATTTAACCCTCTTAACTTGAAAATTATTAAAATAATAATCTGAAACCTTATTAGATTTTCAGCTTCAGTATAAGATACAAAATATTATTTATTATTTTTGCTTATTAATGATACTATTTACCTTGAATAACTTTAATTGAATAAGTTTGAATAATCAGAAAAATCATTCTATTCAAAAGATGCACTTTGTTATCAATCAGTAACTCAATTAGTTGCCAAGTTACAAGGCTTTGAAAATACCGCCTAGATGAATGACGCTTGAAATTCTCGGAAATGCTGTGACCTACTTTCTCTCCCCGGAAATACTCACGCTAGTAGTAGGTAGTAGTAAAAAAAAAAAACAAAAAAAACAAAAAAAAAACAAAAAAAAACACGCTGACTCAGCGTCCATCACTGACCGACGCAGTAGCAATGGCCAGACACTGTTAGCGTACTGTCCAAAATGATGCTTTTCTTTGAACGACGATATCTCAAAAACTAAATGGCCCATCAACATGCAACTATAACCATTTCAAAGGAGAAGATTGGATCTTTCTTGTGACATGCATACAGAATTCTTATGACACAAATGCGAATTATATGGTGGGTTAAAGTTGGTGAGACAGCTACATATATTTTCGTCACTTTGTTAAGAACAGGCGATCCAAAAGCATTTTTGTATACCTTAAAATATACACAACAAAATGCCTGTAATAGCTTTTTGGTGTACTTCATGGTTTATGAGAAATAAATTGTCAAAAATGAAATTTGATTTCTCAGTTTCCTAAATGACGTTAAAATTGCATGTGTGTTTTGTGTAGGAATTTTGAGGTACGATTATACATTGCGACAGCGCATTTGCTTCGAGGAGGAGTGAAATTATTGATCATGTTAGGATAATTAGAATTATCGGGTTATGCGGTGGAGGAGATTGCCCTCGCATAGGGTAACTTGTGTGAAGCTTTGGCTTCGGATAGATTAAGGCTTTTCGGGTGTGTCAGAAGCGAGGAACGGCTCGTATGTACCTTGAATTCTTCATTTAAACCCTTCGTGTTTCCTAGTGATACATTTGACTCTTCTATTAAGCCTATCCCAACCTTGAAGTTTATTAAGAAACCACCAATACGTATTTTTCACGTTTATAGTTTTCTTCATTGAAGATTTCCCTTAATTAAAAATTCTTTATATATATTTTAATTTAATAATTCTAAAAACTGAAATTGTGAAAAATTTTGTTGCCAAATTTGAGACGAATTAGTCCATTATGTAATAATAAATAATTAAATATATTTTCAATTTTTCAGTTAATATGTTTTTGCAAAAGTGAGGCGGTAAAAAATTTTTCATTTTATAAAAAAGGAAAAATGGTTCTTGAAAATCTGATGGGTCTTATTTTAAACGATAGTTGGTATGTTGTGCGTTTCACAGCTGGTTTGCTATGAATGCACATACTGGTGTGCATGCATTTTATTGCATGTAAACGTGAATGCATTGTGTATGTGTAGGTTGAAATTTACGCAAGAATTATTTCACCAGCGACGAGGTTCAAAAGAAAGGATACAAAGCGTGTATTCTGCTTAAATTGTTCGCTTAACTTGATTTATTCGCCTTGTTATTCCTTATTTATTCGAACGCTCAACCAACCATAGGGAATTTTCTAACACTGACTTTTTTATGGAAAATGACATTTTTTCTCCTGTCATGGAAATGTATTTACAAGATAGCAGAATATTTAAAGCTCGGTTCTGAACGAGTCAATTTTATAGTCTTCTTATTACAATATTTAAAAGAGAAAATTGCAGAAAAATTTGAAAAAATTATACAAGAACAACTTGAAAGCTTCGATTGGGATAATTCCGAAACGAGCTGGAAGCTATTTTTTGATCCTTTAAAGTTCTAATTTATAATAAATATTTCTTTAATTTCATTTTAAAATAAATTGAACATTCATATAATGATTCCAAACTTACAATACATCAGTATTGTTACAAAAAAGTTATTGTTAGAAACCTGTTGATAGAGTGAAATTGTTCATCTCAAAATACAAAAGATTCATATTTCGATTTTAGTTTTTTCAAGCTACGATTGCCAATTTCAATTTTGAAACATAATTTCAGTCTTTCAATAGGAACGGCTGTCGAATATGTATATATATATATTTTTTTTTTTTCAATTTTGCTTGTATGACAATAAATTCTCGTTTATACAAATTTTTAATTGATTTCGTAAAATTCGAAAAACTTATTCCTATTAATTTTTAACCTATCTAAAATTTAAAACTAAACAGAGATATTATAACAATAATAATCAGATTGGAATACCATTATATATCATTTTAGAATTATGGAAAGTTCATTTTTCCCTCAATTTTTACGATGCCTGTACTTTTCCAATTGTTCAATGAACATGAACAGTAGTCTCATTGAGAGTGGCTAATTATTGTTTTTTGATTACCTATTGATTGAAATGTGTAGTTTCAATTCGAACAACTGGCAACAATTGCATGTGGAGAAACTTTTACAAAAAGAGAAATTGGTAGAGTGTTGTTTGGACTTGTTAATAAGCTAGTAAATATGGGATGTGCAATTTGACAATAATTTTATGCACACAAACATAATCTTACCAATAACCTTAATTGATTTAAGAGGAAAAAAATCGTCTAGGGTGGCCTTTGATTTTTCGGAAGTGTTAAATTCGTGAAATTTTAAAAAATTTTCTTTTGAGAATTTGTAATCAATACACCATTGTT